ACCCCAAACATGCTCCCAAAAGGTGAAAGAATATTCAAAACATAGTCTCCAGACTATGTTTGGATTATTGTTGGATTATTTTTGGGGTGTTTCCTATTTTTCGTCGAAAATCCCCCTGTAGGGGGACAGGCCCGACTTAACACCAACACCAAGGGTTGTCTCCATGGGAGGCAGATGATCCTGGATTGCGGGGCTGGCGGTAGTTCTTCGGCCACCCAGGAAGCCCGCAGATTACCACCATCGCCGAGATCAGGACCATCTTGCCTCGGCGGAGGCACACCGCCGATATTGGCCTTGGTGTCAACCGCTAGGCCTCCGAGCGGTGTCCATCCTCTTGCGGGACGGGAAAATGACCACAGCCACTGCTTCTTGTTTGCGCCGCCTTCCAGCCAGCCGAAAAAGAAGCAATGGTTGTGGTCATTTCCGTGGTGCCAAGCTCAACGAAAATGACCACAACCACTGCTTTGTTTCTGCTGGCTGGAAGGCGACAACAAAAAGAAAAGCAGTGGCTGTGGTCGTTTTCACGTCCCGTACCTCTTTCACAGCTGTGTCCTAGAGCTCGCAGTCCTGTATTGTCGTCGTCGTTCCTTCGTTCGCTCGTCGCCACCCCGGCCTCCCCATGCCTCCTCACGATGATCCGGGTGGCCCCAGGAGAACACCATGATGGCCCCGAGAACCCCCCCGTCCTCACCCCGCCTCGCCTGCCTCGCCCTCTCTCGTGCAAGAGCCTGGGCCTGCGTGCTCCTATTATTCCCCAGCCAAGGCGTGGGCACTGTCAGCGTAAGGGGATTCGGTGACGCCAGAAGGGACGCTACCCGCCACCGTGCCTGCGCGGAGTGGGCGTGTTAGAATAATCCCGTGGTCCCTGTGGGATTGTTTGTTTTGAACTGTAACTATTGTGGTTATTCTTATTATCAAACATGTCCTAGGGCTTCGCACGCGGGGTTCAACAACCGTCCCCCCTGAGGATGCTCCCCCGCGCTCCTGTGGGCCTCCAGACCCAAGATTGCCTCCAAGACGGCTTCCAAAACCAGCCAAGACGACAAGGGAAAGGCTCAAGATGGCCCAAGACAGCTCAAGAGTCTCTCAAGAGAGCCTCAAGACGACTCAAGATAGCCCAAGAAGGTCTCAAGACGGCCCCAGAGGTGCCCAAAACGGCCCGAGCGAGCTCCAAGAGACCGTCCTGGAGAGCCCGAGGGGGGCAGAACCATTCAACTGTCCAGGCGACAAAAGCGAGTTTGAGGTTCTCGCCTGTTCGGGGTTCTGACCACCCAAGACGGCCCAAGATGCTTCCAAGAGGCCTCCACGATAGCTCCAAGATAGCCCAAGAGGTCCCCAAGAGGGTCCCAAGTCGGCCCAAGAGGACCCAAAGATCGCCCAAGGGGCTCCCAATGAGGGCCCCAAGACGGCCTTGAAGCGCCCCCAGAAAGCAACAGGACGGCATGGAGAAGCCTCTTGGGCTGCTCTGGGCAGTTGGAAACCCAAACATGCCAGAGCCTCACCAATCTCTTAAAAACTCAAGGAGCATCAGTGGTTTGGGCCTCCTCGGGCTCTCCTGGAGAGCCTCTTGGAGACCTCTTGGGCCGTTTGGGAGACCTCGTGATCTGCCTTAAGGCCTTCGTGGGAGCCGCATGGCCTCTGGGACGGCCCTGAAGGCAGCCAAGATGACGCCAAGATGGCCCAAGATAGCTCAAGATGCCCCCGAAGCAGCCTCAAGACAGGTGAAGAGTCCACCGAGACGGTACAAGAGGCCCCATGAGGCCCCAAAGAGGCCCTCAATAAGCCAATAGGCCCCATAAGGCCCCCAAGAGACCCCCAAGAGGCACCCAAGAAGCTTTCGGGACGCCCTCGCCGTGTGGGTGACAGCTTACATGGGCTTCCTGTGAAGCGTGAGGGCGATCTGATGTGGGCGTGGGCCAGGGTCCAGCGCTGGCTCCCAGGCAGGAGGAGGGCGACAGCGAGGGGGAGCGGGGAGGACGGCGACGAGAGCGGGAGCACGACAGACGAGGAGGACGATCGGGAGCCCGGTCCCCGGCGCATCTCCTGTCAGCCGCCGCGCGCAGCCTGCCCACGGCCCCCACCACCGCGGCCAGCTCGCGGGCGCCCCTCGCGAGGAGGAGGAGGAGGAGGAGGAGGAGGAGGAGGAGGAGGAGGAGGAGGAGGGAGAGGAGGAAGAGAAGAAGGAGGATGAAGATGACAAAGGGGAGATGGGAGTGGAAGAGAGGATGGAGGGGGAGGGGTGGGGGGGGGAAGGGGGGGAGGGAGGAGGGAGGGAGAAAGAGAGGGGAGGGGGGGGGAGGGGGGAGGATTGGGAAGTAGAAGGGGGAGGGGGCAGGATTGGACGAGATGGACGAGAGGAAGGATGCGGGAGGGGAAGCGCGAGAGGCACGAGGGGGATCGGAGGGGGAGGGGAGGAGAGGCGAGCGGGAACACTAGACTGGAGCGCTCCGCATGCCAGGGAGGGGCTGCAGCGCCGATCCACTGACACTCTGTGCTATTGTTAGGTCGGGCATATTCTCCTACAGACGGATTTTGTAAGAACAATAACACATAGGCAACAAATATTCCCAAAAAGTCAACATAAGTAGAAAACCGTCCCCAGACAGATGTTTCATTATTTTTGAATATTCCCCCTGTAGAGGGGCATGCCCGACTTAATGCTTGTGCAACAATGCTTCTTCCCCGAAGGAAGGGACCATCCCAGACCCGCGACGTCGTGTTTTTGTTTCGCAGCGTCGACCCCCACAGGACTGAACCCCATCTCCGGGACCAATTCTTCATCCTGAGTCGTTTTTGACGGTCCCGGGGACCGGTGCGTACGGGCCCGCGGAGGCCGAGACCAGCGAAACGTCTCCCGTCGCGATTGTTTCACGACGCCCGGGCAGCGCTGCGCCTGGCGCGCGGCGCTGCGCGGGCGCCAGGTGCAGCGCCCGGGGCCGCCGGACTAGCGGCCAGCGCATGGGCCGCGTGCCGCCCCGGCCCCCCTCCCCTCCCCCCCCCTCCTCGACTGCTGCTCTCTGCCGCTGGGCTTCTTCGATGGGTAAAAAAGTGTGAAGGGCGAGCGGTTGGGCCGCCCGCCCTCCCCCTTTTTCCCTCTCTCGTGCATGGTGTCAAATTCGCTACGACGGTGCCCCCGCTTAGTTAGCTCTTCCGCCAGAGCAGCTACTCTGCCTAACCGCCGACGCAAGAAAGTGAAGGGCGGGCTGAGGCTTCCGCGGCGAGGCGGCACAACCAGAGGGGGGCGGTGTGGAGGGCAGAGGGGAGCGCCAGACAACACGAACACACCATCCCAGCCTCCTGGCTGGGGGGGGGGATGAGAGAAGGAGGAGATGTGGCGGGCTGGGTCAGCAAGCCTGGAGAAGGGGAGCAAGGCAAAGGGCATCCCTTCCCAACCGCTGCAAGAAGGGAGGGCGCAGATGGGGGGTCGCGCGCCCACGGGGCGGCAATAGATAGGGCGAGGCACCTAGAACGGGCCATACCATGGTGGAGCGCAACGACTTGGCATCGCCGATGCCCATCGATGCATCTCGTCGGTGAGCGTGCTGCTGCTGACGAGCTCTGGGGAATCCCCTGACAATTCAGGGGTCACTGGGTGTGCAAGACTTCGCCCACTTGCGTCCCCCTCACCACGTTCCAAAACCGCAGAAGAGAACACTCTCGAGAGGTATCTGCGGGATTGACCGAGAGCCACACGTGACGTGCGATCGGTGTTCGCGTGCCGACCAACGTTTGTTGGGGCGAGCCGTTCCCCGAGCTGCTCGGTCGGAAATTGCCTTGCCAAAAGGAGGTGCGGGTCCACCGGGGGGGAGAGGCGAACTGCCGTTTCCTTCCAAGACGGCCGCTAGGTGGCACAAGAGTCCCAAGATGACGTCCGGATGGCCTAGCGGGACTCCAACACAATGCGAGATGCTCCAACAAGAACCTAAATGTGACACACGGAGGTCTCCAGAAACGCCCTTTGTGAGAGGAAGAGAGCTCAGGAGAAGCGTCGCTCTTTCAGATGTGTTTGCATTATATCCTCAGTATCCCTCATCCGCGGCAGCTCCCCTTCTTCTCCCATCGGTTCGGCGCCCAATTAATTCTGTCCAACGTCGCCGCTAACACAAAATGTTGATTTCCACGGTTTTCGGCCCAAGATGGCTCACGAGGGCCCAGCTATGTGCCGAGAATACACAGGACAGCCCAAAGAGGGCCTCGGATGGGACCGTGGCGGTCAGAGGAGGCCATCAACAAGCACCATGGGCCCATAGCCCCAAAAAGGAGGAACCGCAGACAGCCCAGTACAGGCCCTCAAGACAAGATGTTCCCCCCCCTCCCTCCCTCCCTCCCTCGCTTTCTTCTTTGCCCCACCTCCACCTCCTCCTCGTTCTGCTCCTCCTCCTCCTGCTCCTCGTCCTCCTACTCCTCCGCCTCGTTCTCCTCCTTCGATTCCTCGGTCGTCGTCCTTCTGTTTCTCCTCGAACCGCTCCCCTCTTCCCAAGCCTCGTCCTCCTTTTTCTCCTCGAAAGACCCTTCTCACTTTCCTCACTGAGAGCCTGCAGAGGCCAATCGTAAATCCATAACATATCCAGGGGTCGGTGGATGTGACGCCGCCGACCAGATGATACGTTTATCCCCATGGCTGCCAACACGTCGCCGAGAGCGCCTTCCCCAAGGAGGACTGTGCCTCAACTCGGTCGACGGCGCCGCGGCTGAAACCTCAGGGTGCACCTGGCGCGGCGGCCTTGTCCGCAGGTCGTCCATGTTCGGCACGACCTGCACAATGCCTAGATGGCCCAGTAGACCTCGCCTGCATATTGGAGCGCTCGGCGACTGCGCAGCGCCTCGGACAGACGACACAAACCCTTGAGGAAGTATAGGACTCCTGGCATGCAAACTTTGCACCTGTAACTCACTTGAATTGAGCAAGAAGCTTACCCAAACAACTGCTCGTGCATCTACTTCTGCGAGGCTGAATTCGCTGCGTGCCCCACCGACAACGCTCTGCTCAGCGGGCACGATCACAAAAGCGGCACGCCAAGAAACGCCTTGCAGTTCAGTACGGCCCCCGCCAAGAACATGAGCAAGAAGCACACCAGGCGCACGTCGACATGCATGGAGGAGTCGCAGGGCTGGCCCCTCTCGCACGCCACCTCGACTGGGGAGGGTCCCAGGGCGGCCGCGGTCGCGAACGCCAGCATCGCGCCCGCGAGGTAGACCTCCACGAGCAGGAGGCAGCGGAGCCCGGCGGCGTGGACGCCCCGGAGCTCTCCGACGAGGCCCTCTGCCGACGCCCGCAGCAGCGCTGCTGCTTCGGCGGCGAGCATCGCTCCTGCGGTTGCTCTGCTGGGCATCGTTTGACCAATCCCCATCCCCACTGGCACGGTTTGTTTTTTTTGTTCCGCCCCAAAAAAGAAGGACAAACAAAAAAAACTCCACTCCAACCAGCATTGTGCGAGACACCGCAGCCCCTCGCGCGACCCCGGCATGAGCGTTCCCTGCATCCCCATCTCCGCTGGCACGGTCTTGGCCCCACTGGGCCAGCTTTGCCCCCCCTCGAGGCTCGCGGGGCTCATCCCCACCAGGGGAAGGATGGGGAGGTCCCACCGTGCGCCTCTGGCGCGTGCGCGCGCGGGGCACGTGCCTTCGCGCGTCCACGGCCCCGGCAGAAATGCGTGCGCGGAAGGGGGGGGAGCCCAGCATATGCGCCTGGCGCGTGCGCGCGGGGCGAGGCTTTTCCCGTGTCCACGGCCTCCAGGTGGGGGGCTGAGTTGCACTCTCCCCTGGCACAGGGCACAGGGCCATGGCGGGTGGCTAGGTGAATCAGTGTCCTCGGCCTGTTGCCACATTCTGGCCGGATTTTCGGGCGAGGCTGGAGGCGGCCCAGCTGCCCAGTGTCGATTGCCAAGATCGCTCGCCAGATATTCCAGTGGCCCGAGAGCCCCATGAAAAAAGAGTTGTGGGGCGGAGATACAGTAGGGGCCCGACCACAAGAAACCTTCCACAAGAAATCTGACCTTAAGACCCCAGGACGTCCATTGATTTTTGGTGTGGCAGCGTCGCGCTTTCCACAGCAAAACCATCGAAGCCCAAGAAACCCAGGGCACCCTGGAGGCAAGCATGGTGTTTCTTGGCATGGGTCTTCACCCTAGGACGAGAGTGATGCCATGATAAGGATGGCTCGGGATACGTTCCAGGATTTCCAGGGGAGCCAGCGGCGCAGCGGGTGCGGAACATCAGTACACATGGGATCTCCTGGAAACGTTGGAAATGATCATGATCATGAGGAGGAGGAGGAGGAGGAGGAAAAGTACCTGGAACGCATCACGACCATGACCTCTTTGCTCCTCTGCCAGAGATGGGGATCGGCCCCCCGAGGTCCGACGCTGCGAAAAATCACCACCGCAACCCCGGGCCCGTTCTGCCTGCGGACTGTCTCGAGCTGGACTCCACTGTGCTGGCCCTGGGACCCGAGACTGGGCGAACGCTCAAGTCGGGCTCGTTCTCCTACATGTGGACACATAATAAGCAGACAATCAAAACATACCCCCAAAATGGGCCAACAAAAAAACCAAACACGAATCCTCCCCTGACAACTGTTTGACTGTGTTGGAACATTCCCTCCGTAGAAGGACACGCCCGCCTTACGCGAACGTGCCTGGCGTCGCAGAGTGGCAGCGCCTGGACCTCAGTGCTCGGCGATGCCGATCTGCGCGGGCGGGACTCTGCTCCGAGGCTGCTTCGCGCCGGCCGGCGGCGCCTGCGGCCGTCGGCCCGGCGCGGCCCGCGGCCGGCAGCCGAGCCCACCGCTTGACACGGAATGTCTGCTGGCCGCACTCCATCTCCCGTTCTGTCTCTCTCTCTCTCTGTCTCTCTCCCACTCTCTCTCTCTCTGTCTGTCTGTATCTCTCTCTCTCGCTATCAGTTTCTGTCTCTCTCTCTCTCTCTTTCCCTTTCTCCTCCCCCCGATCTCTCTCTCTCTCTCTCTGTCCCCATATTTTCACTTCTCTCCCTCCTTCCCTCTCAAATTCTCACTCTCAGTCTATCTCTCTCTCTCTCTCTCTCTCCCTTTCTCCTCTACTTCCTGGTCATTCTGCCTCCACCCTGCCTCCCACGTCCTCTCATCTGGCTTCCCCACCCCGCTCGCTGCCCGATCCCTGCCTCGTCGACACACAAAGTGCGCCAGACAGAGACGAAAGCCATTTTTTCCTCCGCTGAAGGTATCCACATTGCGAAGCCAGAGAAGCACGCCCAGAGAGCGAATGCAACCTTCGCCGCGCCTTGCAAGCGCGTGCCCGAGAGCTTGGGGCGAAGATAATTAGCGAATTCAGGAGAGATAGTGTCAATCTGCACTGGCGTTCTGCTGCCAACATGAGTTCAAAGTCGCCTTTGTGTGCGCAGGTCGAGTCTCAAATTCGATCGCTGTGCCTTTTGTCCGCCTGTGGTCAGGCATAGGCACGCTGATAAAACAACAGGACTGCGCACCACGGGACCCATGCTTTGACGAGTTCAAGGTCAGAGGCACACATCTATGTATATGTACATGTTACACCCGCAGACCCCATGCGATTTCAAGTTTGCCAGCGTGCCCCCCCTCCCAGTGAGTTCTTGCGCTTTCGAGGTGTGCCCTATGTGGCGCAGTACATGGGATACCATTACTGTTGTGCAGAATGTGCAGGGCGCTAGCGATGAAAGGTTAACACTATTGTGCAGGCGATGCGATACGAGTGATGCCGTCCAAGCTATGTGGTGAGATTGTGGGGTGCCAGCTACGTGCTGCAAACTAGGTGGTTCAATATATCAGGCGCGATCTGCGTGGTGCAGTCGAATATGTGCTTGCTTGTTCCCAGAACTGCATGTCACCTGGACAAGTTTGACAACGAATTGTTGGTTGGCTCCTGGGTCTGTTTAGGAAGATGCCGTGCTTCGATTTGACGGCTGCCCCCCTTCTTTGTTCCACTGCTTGCTCCTACACTTCCCTGGTCAATTCCACTCGCCTGGGCATGAATCCTGGATGGGCTGGCTAGGATACGCGAGCGGTCAAAAGTTAAAAGCTTGGCGTCATCACCCCCGATGTCCGAGCAAAAGTCCCACCCACCCGCCCGCAACCTGTTAAGAGGCCGTGAGTGCAAGAACGCTCATGTCTTTTTGGTAAATCCCAGAAGACACAATTGAACGCGGACTTTCGTCATGCAGGTCCATGATCTGGGCGTGTAAGTGATGATGATGTTGTTGATGATGATGGTGATGATGGTGATGATCATGATGGTGCAGATGCTGCTGATGCTGAGTATGATGATGATGCTGATGATGATGATGGTGATGCTGCTGCTGATGATGAAGATGGTGATGCTGATGGTCATGATGATGATGATGATGCTGATGAGGGAGGGCGAACCAATTGGCAACAAATACACAATTTCCCCGACGCTTCTTGTGTGGGTTTTCTTCTTGAGCCGAAGACTTGACAAAACTCCTTCCTCCTCGCCCTCCTCCCTCCCCCTCCTCTGGCACCCTCCCTCGTGCTGCCTCCCGCCTCCTAAGTGCCTCCTCCCTTACAGCCCACCCGCAGAATGTGGATGCGCGGTAAGGGTGCAAGCCTTGGAAAGCCACGTCGCCGCTTTGCGAGTGGGGCGCGGCCAGCGACAGCGGCCGAGGATGGGCCGAAGGGAAAGGATGCAGGGGTGACATTGGAAAGCCGTTCATCCTTACTCTACGGGTTGTCTCTACCTCTTGCCTGCCCACTCCCCACACCATCTTGAAGACTGCCCAACGCTCAACCTGTCGCCACCTGTGTGGGCTCTCGGGGGTGGTCCAACGGAGTGGCGAATTCTACGCAGACCCACGCAAGACCTCGCCGTCCCTCCCCGGTCCACCGTTCGGGACCCCCTCCCCCTCACCAGGTGCGCCTGACTGCGCGCTTCGCGCTGCACGAATAACCTCGCGCCCTCGCGCCGCCCCACATGGAAGAAGAGGAGGACGAGGAGTAATCGGAGCCGAACTGCGAAGCGAGAACAACTTCGCGCCCCGCCCTTGGATCCATCATCCCGGACCCGCATCCCTCCGCCCCTCCATCCTTGGCAGCCGAGGTGAGAACCCCTCCCCCGCTCTCCCTTTTTCGGGAGACTCCCTGGTCTTTCCCGACGCATCCTCAGCGCCCTGACCCTAGCAGCCTAACCCCGACACCCTAACCCTATCACACTAACACCTTACCCCTGGCACCTGAACGATAAGACCACTAACCATACCATACCTTAACACCCCAGCCATCACCCACAATCACCAAAAAACTGAACTCCCTAACTCTAGCCCTCGACGCCCGAAATTTGACGCCCTAACACCCTAACCCTAACACCGTCGACCGAACACCCTTGACATCACCCGAGCAATAACAAAAAACTAAACGCAAATCGTTCACAGCTTAATCCTAGAACAAACCCAGTTCCCATCGCTCGAATCCCTAAATGCCCTGATTCAAACAGCCAAGCACCCTATGCCCATGCACCTTAGCACTGACGACCTGAACCTAACAGCAGTGTGAACCTTACTCTTAACCATCAACGCCCAACCCTAGCACCCTAGTGCCCTACAGCTGACCTTGACCCACACCCCTCCCCGAATCGAACACGCTCCCCTCACTCTAGACCTAACACCCTGAACATGACTTTACACCTGACCCTGAACACCCCAACTATATCACCCTACACCTCGCACCTAACACACTACCCCTCGCAGCTAACCACAACCCTGGCACCCTTATCGAAATACCCTAACCATACGCACCGTGCCACTAAACCTCACGATCTAGCCCTGCCAACCGAACCATAACACGCGAGCCCTAGCCCTAAACGCCCACAGCCTGACACTCTACCCCTGACACGCACACACATACACACATGCACACGCCCGCTCGCACACACACACACACACACACACAAACACACAAACACACACACACAAACACACACACATACACACACACACGCACGCACACACGCATACACACACCTTCATACACACACACACACACACACACACACACACACACACACACACACACACGCACACACGCTCTGTGGCGATCGCGGCCTCGCGCGCAACGCCGAGACGGAGAAAGGTCGAATTCGGTGCGCGCGCGGCCAGGCACACACACAGACACAGTCGCACACATTCACACACACACACACACATTCACACACACGCACACACACACACACGCACACACATTCACACACACACACAAAACCCACGCACGAAACCCATGCCTAAGCCCTCCAGTCCTAACGCGCTACCCTGACCCTAAGCTTCCTCATCCTCAACCACTGGCACTGACACTTCAAACCAAACGCACTAACCCCGCCACCCGAACCCTAACCCTACCACTCTACCTCGCCCTGCACACCCTAACCCTACCACTCTACCCCTCGCACCTTCCCTGGCACCCTGACCACTAAGACCCTGACACACCACGCGACCAAGAATCCCCTCACCCTAGCCATGGTAAGCCAGCCAACTCTAACACCCGAACGCGTTGCTGGCTGTACTAACACATTGAGTACGAGTGTTCGTGAGTACTAACACTGTAGTAAGAGCTGTAGAAGGAACTGCTGCAGGAGTATGTATGGGAGCTGTGCTACTGGCTGCACTAGAACGTACGGTAGCAACTGCTGCGGGAGCTGTAGTAGAGCTGCACTCGACGCTGCACCAAAACATTATCAATAGCTACTGTAAGAGCTGTAGTGAGAATTGTGCGAATTGCTTGACTTGCTGTCCTCTGGATTGTCGTAGAAATCTGTACTGAACTATATACGGAAATGGTGGAGAAAATGTGCTACTGGCTGCAATGGAAACTCTAGCGGAATGTGTAGTGAGAACTGTAATAAGGCTGCTATAGGCGGTGTGGCAACAACTGGGTCAATTGTCGTGGTCTGAGCTGTAGTCGGAGCCGTGTGAGTTGAACTACTAGCTGTAACATGGACTCTACTGGGAGCTGCATTCTGAGCTGTGCTGGAAGCTGCGCTACTGTTTGTACTGGGATCAGTCTCAAGAGCTGCAGGAGACCTGGAGGAATAAGAAGATGCGCCCACTTGAGGCCCTCTTGGGGCTTCCTGGGGGCTTCCTCAGAGGGGCATCTTGGGACTTGCAGCAGGGGGGGAGCCCATCGATTTGATTTATTTATTTATTTTTTATATATAAATATATATATATATATAGACTAAGAACCATCGCGCGCGCTTCGCGCGCGCTCAGGTTCTAGCAGGCCCCAGGCCTTGACGAATTCACTGCTGCTCCACTGAAGTAGTGGACCACAGTCCACGCATTCCAATCTGCATTCCGAAAGGCCTTCGAGGAAAATGGTTGTGTAGAAAGGCGGAGGCCGTGTGAATCGGGTTCGCAGAAGGCCTTCTGGGAGCATGGGCTCGGGGCGTCTTGGGAAGCCTGTTGGGGCGTGCCGTCGTCGTCGTCGTCGTCGTCGTCGTCGTCGTCGTCGTAATGTCGTCGTTGCATATTGGGGCGCGCCGT